CACCGCACAGTAAAGAGACATAGAAAGAGGACCAAAGTCGAAGGCCAGCAATTCACCGATGTCGCGACAGAGAACCATTTCCTCGAGCAGTTTGCGTCCCGTCAAGTCACGGTCCTGTGGTTTACTGGTGGGTTTTCTGCCATTGCCTCGGTCGCGCCCTGGAGTGACACCGATAGAGCCGCCATGACGGTCTGAGTAGAACTCCACAATAAGACAAAATTTGTCGTTTGCAACGGCGAGAGCAACGAGTCCCCCCTGTTTTGAATAGCCCGGCGCGATTCCGATTGGCCCTGATCACCTCTCTGAATCCGTGTCTACAGAAAACGGGGAGCCAGAGCATACCAGGTTCATCAAAGACATCCAGCCAAGCCTTATGGAGGTCTTTCTCGTGCATAGTACTCAAACGAAGTGTGCTTTCCACACCATCCAACAGATTCTGCATGAACTTCGAGGCTGTCAGTTTTGCCCGAATTGTTGCCGTTGAGACATACGGAATCTTGGTCTCTCTGTTGTCTCCTCGCCATCGATGAAGCTCGTCAACTTGAAGTGTGGGCCAGCCTCGAGGCGAGAGAGTAATTTTGGAAACAACACGAGAACACGATCACGAGATCGTTCCCCTCCTACTTTCCTTTCCAGCCCCACCCTCCTACGGCCAAACTCCAGTTTATTGGATCGGTCAACAGTCTAGCAGTCTATTATACGCGTGCCTTAAGGTCTCTGATCCCCAGGGAGGGGGTGGGTGTATTCTAAGTCATGGTAGTCAGTTATCGCGGCGCAACCTCCCAGCGTGAATCCATCCATCCAATTAATCCCACGCATCGTCCCCTCCCAACTCAGCGGCAAGCAATCCGACGAGCGAATCCTTAGCCGCACCCTCTATGAAAGCCCGATTCGCGCATACAATCATCCCTCTCTTACACCTGGTTAGCATCACATTCACGCGCCTCAGTTCGGCGAGAAATCCTACATTGTCCGCGCTACGAACAACAGAAAGGATGATATAGTCATCTTCATTCCCTGGATCAGCGAAGACGTAGAGTCAGCCGAAAGTGAAGGTGACAACCGAAATACCCACCCTGGAAAGAGTCGACGCAAAAGACCTTATTCTCCCAAGGAATTTTTGCCGCCTTGAGCGTATTCTCGAGGAGCGAACGCTGCGCGTCATACGGCGTAATAATACGGTACGATTCTCCCTTCTCGTAGTAACGCCGTGCCTCCGCGATTGCCGCTTTCGCTTCGGCCACGTTCTGTGCATCGAAATATTTGTCGGTCAGCCCGTTTAGAACAAGGAGATCAACGTACGATCCAACTCCGCCCCTTGGCGACCTCTGCGCCATTCACATCGACAAACCAACAACACTGCGCTGTTTCGTGATGCACAGTCTTGAGCTTGTCGCCATAGACGTGTTTCCCGATAAACAATCCCAGTTGCTCAGGCATCCTGTAATGAATGAGCTCGAAATCATGGACTCGGGCAAGGCAACTATCACCGATCTGTTTCCCGGATGAGAAACGAGTTAATTATATAGAGAGAACACGCTTACATTGAGTATCCAGGAATATCGCGTTCTCGCGCAGATGCGGCATCTCGAACACACTTTGCAGTGACGAGATCCTGCTCGCGCCATACGGGGGCACTGCAACAACCAGCTTCAGTTCAGACAAGGAAGAGAAAACAAGCGCAGAACAGACACTGTTGATCATCCCCAATGAACACCATCTTCCTCAACGCATGCCCGAACTTGACCAGCATCGGAACAAAATCACCCATCTCCACCTGACTCGCCTCGTCCACCAACAACATCTCCATAGGTACGAGTCGCGTAACGGCAGAGAGCCGTGTATTCGAGAGCATGCTAAGTGTACAAAGCACAACGCGCGATTGCAGCATCCGTTGTTCAATAAACTCGAACTTCTCGGAGAGGTCGTCAGAGCGGAGGAGGCAGTCAGCGATTTTGTTGTAAAGATGTTCGTGCCAATCGTAGTGGAAGTCTAACAAATCAAGAGAATTCATCATTGGAAAGCATATCTGAGTCGAATGATGCCGACCTTTCGAGACCAGCAGAGTGAAATCACAATCCGCGTCTGCCAGCTTCTCCGCGATATTCTTCACCGCTACATTACTCTGTGCGACTACCCAGACCGTGCGCTCCATGTCATTTGGATCAGAGAGAATGCTATGGATCGCGGCAGCAATGACAGTCGTTTTCCCTACATCCGTGTAAGCAAGAGGGGTGAAATGAAGGCAGAAAGCCGACCCACCCGTTCCCGGCGGCCCCTGCACTAGAACCACCCTCCGGCTCTCCTCCTCCGACAGAATGACCTCGACTGCCTCCCGCTGACTCTGGTTCAACTTCCTTTGAGGAAAGTACAGCCCCACCTCTTTCATCTTTTCCGCATCCTTTGACTTCGGCCATTTCACCGGCTCCTCGCCGTCCAATCCCGCCAACCACAGCGCCTGAAAAAATGGCTGCGTGAGGAGCGTACCTCTCCCTTGGAGTGCATGTCGAATCGCTTCGGAACGCAATGACTCTGTACGTGTGTACCCTTGCCGGCCGATGGTAGTGACGCGGGTGATGGTAGAACTCTCGGACAGACCGGGAGTGGATTTAATGTTCGTGGCGGATGTGGATTCGTCTGATGTGCCGGTGCTGAGTGTGATAGAGGCGGCTCGGCCTTCGACGAGAACCGCTCTGCCTTGAAATTTGGAAATTTGATTACCGATGGTGCTCTCGACTTCAATGCGCTGGATCGGAAAATTAATTGAGGTAAGAAGGTTGAGAAACGAGTCAGGAGACAAACTTGATTCCGATTTGCCAGGACACGGGTTTGAAATCTGGTGGAAGTGACGCTGAGCTTGCCAGACTTGCAGCTGAAATTTTCGCTGTCGACCTCATTGTCAACGCGAGTGGGCTTCATCAAGGTAAGTAATCGTCCATCGCGAGTCAGTTTTGACAGAACTCGTAGGCGCTTTTCGAGAAAGAATCAGCCCTGGAAATAAAACAATATGAGATGATGCTCACACTAGTTGACAACTCGTGCGTATCCACACGGGGTACTCCGCTTAGCCTTTGTGTCATGGATTCCAGGGACGCAGCACGCCATGCCGCCCAGGCCTGTAGCACCACATGCTCTCGTGGTGTATTTACATCCTCATCGCTAGCAAAAACGCTTTGTACCATAGACTTGTGCAGCCCTTCCTCACCCCCCAGCACGGTGGCCAGCGCCGCGAGACTTTCGCGGCTTTCGTTCGTCGAAGCAGAAAGCAAGTCCACCGCAGATCTTATACAAAAGTCGCCCAGATCAAGACAAAGCGCGCTAACCAGAAGATCCATCCTGAAAGCGTATTTTGTAGGTAAGGGAGGGAGGAGAATCAGGGTACGCAGGAGGTCGCGACCACGGAGTTTGCCTGGTTTGACGCCGGCCGCATTTTTTGTGAAGGTGATAAGAAGTACGTGTGAGGATGTCGCTAGAGCAAGGGAGGATAGTGTGCCGGTATTGGGACGGTAAGTGGGTGCGAGTCCAACTATCCCCTCTGTTGCGGTCGCAAGGAAGTCGTGAAGGATAGCGGGGGTGAGAGCGAATTCGTGAATGGGGAAGGCATGAATTGGCGGCTGTTCGTGCTTGAAGAGACTTTGAAGGATCGTAAAGGGCGGGTCAGGCGCCATCGTAGTGGTGGGCAGGAAAGGGCCAAATCGTCACGAGATCGCGTTCACGAATTTGCGTGTAATAAAAATCTTTTGACTCTGTTCTCATTTCATCTCAACTTTGAACTGGATGCAAAGACCGTCTAAAGTTCCTTCACGCTGAACCTTGTGCCCTTCATATTCCGCGTTATGCACGCTAGGTAAGTGCTAGGCACTTACCTTTAGCTTGATACCGTGACGGATTCGCATTCCACGAACCTGAGGGGCGTTTGAATCTGCGCTACTGGACCGCGGCCAGCAAACCTTAGCCGAGTAAAACTCGAACTTGACAATCCCGAACGAATCGTTGCTGAGATGGCCATGACTCATGAGAGGAAACGGTACTCCGCATCTCGGAAACAGCCGATACAATTCTTTCGCAACTCGCAAGTCTCAATGTCTGTGTCCTCCGTCCTTCGCAGAGCAGCCATCCAGTCTTCGATGAAGCCCAGGGTCCACCCAATGGACGCGTCCCGTGTTCGAAACACAACCTCTCTCGGAGACCAAGTCGGATTGACGAAGCTGGGTATCCACCAAGTCTCTCTCGCACCAAACATGCTCTCAACTGTCGAACATTACCACGATGTCGACGACGAATGGTTCTACGTTCTGAAAGGGAGCGGGACGCTCTTGTGTGCTGGGGTGGGAGAGGACACAGTCGTAAATGCAGGTGATTTCGTCGGTTTTGCTGCTGGGGACAAGCGTCCGCATGCATTCCGTGCAGGTGAGGACGGTATGGAATATCTCACGGGGGGAAGCCGGTATGTATAGTTTTAAAATACTACGAAGGAACCCATTCCTCAACCGATACACTCATCCTCGCAGGGAGCCTGTCGATGTCTGTCATTATCCTATGCAAGTCTTATTTCTCCAGATATTTCCTACGTGAAGGTAGGGGACTCATGCCATGACAGAATTGAAAAGACTCTCATCGTAAATCGCACTGCCGACGCGACGCGGATGACAGCTGTGGAACTTGAAGTCAGGAAGGTGGAGCCTCTGTAGATTTTCTCCTTTCCCAATAATTACCTGAGTTGAGTTGTGCATCGAAAAGGATCACCGTCGTCTTGTTCTGTTTTATTAGCATCACAATCGGGCTAGCCGACCTCAATTGCCACTTGTATTCTGTATCTACATAAGACTGTGCCTTTCTTCCGCCATAACACCACGAAATCATGAGCAGACTCATTTCAGAGTGCCATTGATTTGGTTACCTTTGCACCGCCAAAATGAATTGGATTTGCCCATGGGCTTGGACGTCGACGTCATACAGGTTCGGAAAAACAAAAGCAAAAGAAGAAGGCCAATTTCTGATAGCAGCAACTCGTTTCGATCGAGTGACCTCGGGGTATCATATGAAATATGGGCCCCGCGCGCTTCCATCTGCGCCATGCTGCTGTGACAGTTTCGTTGCATGTAATCAATAATAATTCAAATGGTAGATTCCCATTGTGCAACAGCAAACACCCAATCAAAATCGGAACAGATTTTACTCGCATCTCAGTTGCAGAATAGGTATGTAGATCGCTATAATAAGTAACTTGGCCATGTCATGACTTTGCACCGAGTCTACGTCGACTACTAGGCTGAAATTCCGCTTCGTCCTCGTCAGCAACGGTTGTCCGAGATCCCTTAGTAGCGGCCCGACGTTGACGCCCCCGAGTCGGCTTCCCCTTGGACTTCTTTGGAGGCGGAGCCTCGTCCTCATCTTCGGACGACTGAGAAGTTTCGTCGGCCGCTGCGTCGACAGCAGGCGACTTGGACCCGAGTTTCCGTTTCTTCCGGAAATCGGAAACGACCTGTTGTAAACGCTTACTGGAGTATGCTTGACGTTTACGGGGAGCGACAGTGCCACTCCCCGCGATATCGAAGAAGCCGTTGAGGTCTCCCTGTTTATTTAACGCACCAGTCTACGGAAAGATGAGGCACACGCAAGCAAAAGAAATGAGTTGGTCTTACCTGTCCACGTTTACGAATTTTTTGAATGACCGGTAGCAACAGTTCATCCACTTTCTCCGGCGACCAGTGGAGCTCAGCATAAAGGAATCTGCAATAGAGTTGAATAAGAAACAACAAAGACGCATCGATCGCATACTCGCGGAGGGCGTCAAGGTCGGGTAATCCCCATTTAAAGGGTTCCTCTGATGAATCGACTGTGGGGTGATAATATGCGTCCCTCTATGGAATATGAGACAACCGAGAGACGAGTCTATGCTGAAAACAAACTTACAACGGTCGGGTTAGGCCATTCAGCTGGGAGGTAAAGGTCTTTGAATTTCTTCTTCTGTGGATCCTTCGTCGGTAATGTCAAACGAAAAGATCCTGAGGCACTCACAAATCGCTTCCGGAATTTAGATTTATTATCCTCCGGTCTATCCTTCCCAGATTGCACCTTCGTCCACCAGTCCTTAAACTTATGCAACCCATCCTCTCCAGGGAATTCGTCAAGAAGCTCCATCGCAACAACTGGTCCAACACCAGGAAGACCATCGACATAGTCGCTACCCAGTAGATAGGCAAGCCTGATCAGAGTGCCGCGGTCCAAACCGAGTTCACGGCTCAAATCAGTGAGAAGGAAGCACTCGACGGTTTTGGACTGATTGAACATGTTCTTAAACACGCGTTGACTGCCGAAAAGGAACACATCCGAATCGTCAGTGATCACGCCGTTCACAAGACCCAGGTGTACCAACTCGGCGCATTGCGCCTCGGCCTCCATCGGCGCGGTAATGTATGGGATCCCAAACAAACTCAACATCATCTGGTCGACGTTCAGAATTTTGTTATTTACTCCAGTGAAGATACAGAAACGCACCATGATTTGAGATATCATCTGCTGGTTAATGTCGTCCGAGTCACGCATGGCCGCCTTCTTCTGCGCATTCAAAACTCTGATCTCATCGTCTATTTCCTGCTGAACTTCATTCAGGTCTTTGCCTTTCACCTGAGACATGAACTGCACGAATTCGCTCTCTTCGGCAGCTGGATCCATCTCCTGCGCGGCGTCCCAATCCTCAGGAACTGGAGAAGCTGCACGAGGTAGAGGCTGGTCTATGCCAATGACGGGTGAGGGAGACCTCGACCAACCACTGAAATATTCCTCTTCATCTTCTTGCTCCGTCCTTGGATTCGGCAACAGCTCCAGCACTGGATCAGCATCGCTCAGTGAGGGCGGCAGATCGGGGACGATGGCTTCCTCGACGGGGTCGCTAGGAGGCCCGTGGTCTGTTAACACTACACCATCTTCCTCCTCCATTGAAAGAGGTTCATTGATTGGCAATAGATCGGGAGAACGAGAATGGGGATCTGTCGACGGGGGTAAAGAAGATTCTGGTGGTGGGCTCATCGATGGCAAGGTTGAAGCCAGATCTATCTGGACTGGTTCCGGTGCCACCAAAAGAGTTTCAATCGACGGCGAACGTCCGCGAGGTGGGAGTGCGGGAGTTGAAAAGACTTCCTCCATTTCATTATCTTGAACCGAGGTAGAGGTCGGATTCGTGTCAGTTCGGAAAAGCGAGGGTGGGGCGAATGGACGCAGCGGCGTCGCAACCGGAGTCTCGAACGTCGACGACGCTGTGCGAGACGCAGGGACGGTTTCCTTTGCCTTCTCAGAAACGCTCGAAATAACCTCCGAAACTGGACGTCGCAGTACGGGTTTGGGCAGGGGTGACCGTGACGGCGTGGTTTTCGTCGGCGTAGGCGAAGCCTGCAGCAACACTGGGTCTCCAAACATCGGTCTCATGGGAGTGGTAGAGTGAGATTTCACAGGTGTCCGCGCTGGCCCTGCGTTCGCTATAGACAGTGCAGTCTCAAGTCGACTCCCATGTATAAACGCATCCTCGGCAAAGTGGGAGTAATGAGAGGTAGAACTGAAAGCTTTCGGCTGCGTCGTGTCATCGAGCTTCGAAGATGACGCAACAGCGTTGACTTGCACGGGTCGTCGGGGACGGGGAGGTGTCGTCTGATTCTTCGAGTGGTCAATGGATTGCTGAATAGCAAACGCAAGTCCCTCGTCCTCTTCCTCCTCCATTGAAGAGCCACCGGGGTGTTGCTCAATCGATTGCTGAATCGCAAGAGCGAGATCTTCGTCTTCGTCATCCTGAATCGCAGCTGTTTCCAGATCGAATAGCGGTTGCGAGACTGGATCAGATGTGGTCTTTCGCGGCAGTGGAACCTTTTTCGCATGTCGAGTAGCAATGGCTGCAAGATTCATGGACCTCTGAAATTCTTGCAAGTCAGGATCGGGGAGACCGGCTGAGGGTCTGAATGAGTTATGAGCGTTAGGTAGCAGGACAATCAAGAGCGACACGAACATGATAACCTCTTCCATGTCATCGTCGTCGTCGCTGTTCTCCTCAGGGACCTCTGGTTTATCGTCCTGGTCAATTTCAATTGGCTTTTCTCGCGAACCGCCGTCGTCTTTGACACCAAGAATCCATCCGCCATCTTTCCCATCGTTCTTTATCAGTACGTACTCCCTGTTGCGCTCGCTAGCCACGCGAACAGGAATGGTGAGGTTAGCTTTACCAATGCTGTCGGTAGTCGTGAGGAGCTGCTGCGTCAATGTGTTGCGTTGCTGCAAATTCAAGATCTGCTGCTTTGAAAAATCGAGTGGCGTTGGAGCAATTCTGAGCATATTTTGCAACCGAGCATATGAGGTTTGCCTTGATTTGAGCCGTAGATCGCCCACTATTTCATATTGAACCTCAGTAGGCAGCTCTCGAAACGCGGGCGACGTGACGTCAAAGTCTTCCGGGCGCATATCCTCTATGAAACTGCGCAGTTCATCCTCGGTAGCCAAACGAGGATCAGGAACTGGAGCACGAGTTGCCTTTGCCACAGCGGCTTCCAAGTCAATCTCGGGAAGGCGATATGGGTCGTGGTCGTAGAACTTGGGTTTGCTGGGGGACGCTGTCGGGGTATCCGCTGGTTTTCGAGGAGATGCTTTGGGCATTGAGGGGTCGATGTCCTCGAGATACACTGTATTATCGTCCAATACAACAGGGGGACCAAGTGCTTTTCCTTTGCCTTTGGCAGGTTTCCTGCTCAAGATAAGTTCTTGTGAATGTCCAAGTGATATTTGGGCGCACGCACGCGCTACCCTTAGCCTGATCTACAGCAGCTCGCCTTAATTGAGCAGCGAGGAGCTTTTCTGCAAGTTTGGCATGACTGGTAGCCGCTCCGCTCTTCTTGCGCTTTCGGTCGTTCTAAGAAATATACATATGCATCCCTAGCTTCGAGATACTGCGAACAAAACATACGAGAGTGTTCCTCTTCAAGGTTGGGGCGCCTCCATCGAAAACAAAGACCGGTTTGATGCCGTAGAACAAGAGTTTAGCTATTCGTCGCAGAAAGCCTAGGACATGCGCATTCGACAGAGCTTTCCCGTCTTTATCGCGCATAGTAGCCTGAAATTGATATATCCATATGCTGGAATCAATAGCCATAATTTGGCCCTCCATTGCCTCGAGCCTAATTCGTGCAATTTCTCAGTCACGAAAGCCAAGTGTATGTCGGAAGAAGTGCGACATTACGGGTCTTCCGACGGGCGTAAGAAGTTTCCACAAGGATTTGACACCCATTGCGCGCTGGGCCCATGAAGGTGAAGGACAAGAGACGCGTCGTAAATGACTCGCGATCAATTAGTGTGGTAACTCGGGAATTGCCGAGGGGGGGTATAAAGAGCCGAATAGCGAATGCCTCACTTTTTGAGACCTTTTGCTCTCCCCCTCCATGGCTTAACGAATTCACTGGAATTCATATAGCCATGTGGTTAAGCAGGCTTATAGACGTAGACGCCTTGCGACCTCGACCGTGCCTTTGTGCAAGGTACATATCCATCTTCTTTCCCTTTCAATTCGTCCAGCTCATCTTCGCTCGCAGTTGGATTTCTCCCCACTCGTTCTGGCTTTCTTTGCCTTTTCGTGGTTTCCCTGTCGCTGTAACGATTGTTTGGATTGCAATTGTTCTGTCCGGACGGATTTTGGTTGGAGGTGCGTCGAGTGGCAGAATCGTCATCTTCCCTCTTGTTCATGTTTTCAACAGGTATCGTCATGACACGCGTGTCGCTTGTCGGCAATGTTTTGTCGACGCCCTGCGTGTCCACCGGACGAGTCCTATCTGGGTGTGTATCTCCACGACCTTTCATGATTGCTTGCTGACCCGCATACCTCTCAGTCGTTGTCAGTTGGCAGTCGGAAGTCTTGAAGCACTGCGCCTTGTCCCGTAGCTCGACGCTCAGTAGTTCTTAGACTATCTTACCGTTGAGACTGCCGGACATCCCGTACGTTTTTATTTTCTTATAGCTCGACCTGCTTCTCAACGTTTCTGTTTAGGTGCTGTTGCAGCACGGAGTTGTTCAAATCAAATAACCCAGGTCATCTCCCGGACATACGTTC